GTCTTATGCTGGACGCCCTACCACATAGCCCTCATGGTGATCGCACTATGCACGAACTGCGTCAATATTTATCTCTACTCGTTTTCCTACTGGATGTGTTACTTAAATAGTCCGATCAATCCATTTTGTTACGCGTTCGCCAACGCCCAGTTCAAGAGGACATTCTTGCGTATCATGAGATTCGACTGGCACAGAACATGATAGTAGACATGAACAGAATTTTAGTCTGTGTTTCTTTTCTTTCTTTCTTTTTTTTTAGTATGTTTGTGTGTGTGTCCTGTGTGTGTTACACGTGTCGCGCACAGAGCAAGACGTGTAGAGACTGATGGCTCTGTTGTGGGCTGTGTGGCTCTGACAGAGAAGTGAACCGATGCGTGACGACACGTTGCTCATTATCATTTCTGCAATGCATTTGAGACCGATCGGGTTCTCAGACATTGTGCTGATACAAGCTGGGCTGTGATTGGTTAGAATGTCAAGCGGAAGCGCGCTGCCATTGGCCGGCGGCTCCTCCATCTTCGAATGGGCGGAGCTAGGCCGAGGCGCAGCCACTTTGTCTGGCGAAACTCATTTTTTGTTCTTGTTTCATGTCAGACCGGAAACCTGCCAAACTAGTTCATTGTTTTATAGAACCGCCGTTAGAGCGCGGTGAGACGGTCTAGCATTTTGATATTTTAGTCATTGTGTGTGGTGCCAGGCTTAACTCACGTGGCGCAAAGCGGTGCTCGCATGCTCTGAATGGTTCTGTTTGTGTTTGCAAGGCTGGTGGAAGGTATTGAATCACATGAATGTACTTGTTGCAATATCTACTGGTGTGTTTATATATATATATATATATTACAATGTCTTGATTGGTTATTTAAGATCATGTTTCTTCCCCAAGCTATACAAAGTAAAACAAACCATTAGTGTGGTAACCACGTGAAATTCACCCCCTTGTTGCAGCAGACGACACATCGGTTCAGATCTCGCGGCGTTCATCAAAAGGCGAGGTATAGGATTTTTTAAAAATTAAATTTTGAGCTTTCAAAAAAAAAAACAGAATTACGTCACACTCACAAACACACAGACACAGACACACACACACACACACAAAGACAACTCTTCCTGATCAGACACACACACACACACAAAGACAACTCTTCCTGATCTAGTGTTATGTTCCTGATCGGATGACATCACCAACAGCAAAGCACGCCCGCCACGTCGAGGTCCCTCACTAAAAACAACTCGAAGGTTGTTTCAAAGGGAAACGATGTCTTTGTAAAAAAAAAATATATATATATATGGTCAATAACTCAAGCAGCGTGCTTCAACGAATTGGTTTCTCCGGGTTAGGGGGGGGGGGGGGGGTAAAGCATATACATTAAGGGCCGCATAGTTTTTCCATTCGCATCTTGAATCCAAAAAAAAAATTTAAAATTTAAAAACGAAAAAAAACTAAACCAAACAAAAATAGCGTGCTTCAACGAATTGGTTTCTCCGGGTTAGGGGGGGGGGGTGGGGGTAAAGCATATACATTAAGGGCCGCATAGTTTTTCCATTCGCATCTTGAATCCATAAGAAAAATTTATAATTTAAAAACGAATAAAAACTAAACCCAACAAAAAGCTTGACTCATCCAAATCTTGCGTCCGTTTGATAGCGGCTTACAACACATGCTATTGGTGTAGATACGTTCTTATATTGATGATATGATTATGTGATTATGATTAACTTAATAATGAAGATTAACTTAACGCTGATTAAGTCGTGCGAGTTCACTGACGCGGGTTTCAGGGGGCCATGACCCCGACCTTATCTCCCCCCCCCCCCCCCCCCCCCCCCCCCCCCCCCCCCCCCCCCCCCCCCCCCCCCCCCTCCCCCCCCCCCCTATCCCCCACACCCTCTCCCCCCCCCCCCCCAATATCCTTTGTACTTTAGAAGTTTCGCTGTATCATACTAGCTGTTTTATCCCATCTAACGATTACATCAATGTGATACTCGATTACATCAATGTGATACTCCATCCAATTCTTGAATGTGAATTCAGTCATAAAATTGAATATTCTCTACATTAAGATTTCCTTTTTTTATTTTTATTTTTTTAAATCAGCTATGTTTCTGCTTGTAGTCACTTACATGGGTTGTTGATCCGAATGAGATGGGAACCGTTGAGTTGGTGAGCTTTCCAAATCTGAAACATATATATATATATACAGTTAGTTTGAATATGGGTTTGATAGTGACAAGTATGTCATAAATAGAAATAATTTAGTTTGCCAATAACAGTTAGTCACATAAAAGATTTACCAAAATATTTTTTTCAAAACTTATTATAGATGAGCCCCGTCTCATTTTTCAAAATAGTCTCCTGTCAACTTAGTCTCATGTCAACTTAATCTCATGTCAACTTAGCCTCATGTCAACTTAGTGTCATGTCAACTTATTCTAATGGAGGAAACAATATCCATTCACGCGGCATGACATATAGTATTACGTTGAATTACGCGTCAGTCCTTCTCTACTCGAAAGGCATATGCCATTCTGGACTAGTGGGGCATATGCCATTCTGGACTAGTGGGGAATATCCCAATCTGGACTAGTGGGGAATATGCCATTCTGGACTAGTGGAGAATATGCCATTTTGGACTAGTGGGGAATATGCCATTCTGGACTAGTGGGGAATATGCCATTCTGGACTAGTGGGGAATATGCCATTCTGGACTAGTGGGGAATATGCCATTCTGGACTAGTGGGGAATATGCCATTCTGGACTAGTGGGGAATATCCCAATCTGGACTCTGGACTCGTATGACATGTTGAAAATATCTTTGACAATCTAGCCTTAAACAAAAATCTCGCGTCATATGACAGTCTAGTTTCATATGACAGCCTAGTCTCATATGACAGTCTAGTCTCATATGAAAGTCTAGTCTCATATGACAGGCTAGTCTCAAATGATAATTTAAGCAACATAAAATTATGACCATGAAGCACAATATCAAAATCTAGTCTCATATGACAGTCTAGTCTCATATGACAGTCTAGTCTCATATAACAGTCTAGTCTCAAAAGTCAGTCTCGTCTCTTAAGACAGTCCAGAAGTACTGAAGATTAACTTTGCGTTCCTGTCATTTTAGGAAGAAATGTGACTAAAGGTGATCTAGGCTTGGGTGTCAGGATAATTTCATAAATCAAAACATTGAATTATAGATCAGCCTACTCAAATACTTCATTCAAGATATTTTGTTCTGGGCCGATAGATGCTCAAGGGTGCTCAACTTTTCAGTGTCTTACACCCTAGGTCCCATGGTTAAGAATCGTAAACAATTTGAACATGGTACTTCAGACCTTCCTATTTGGTCTCCATATTTTATGCTTGTTTGTAAGTGTTGTGTAGAGGAGCTGTGTCCATAGTTGATTGATAAGTCAGGTCATGGCCAGATGTGTTAAGGATTTAGTCAGGTCATGGCAAGGTGTATTAATGATTTAGTCAGGTATTTGCCAGGTGTGTTAAGGACTTAGTCAGGTCTCTGCCAGGTGTATCAAAGATTTAGTCAGTTCATCATCAGTTGTATTAATGATTTAAAGCTAAAAGATCAAACAACGAAAGAACTTTATAATAATCAACACTCTATTGCCCAGAAATGTTCTATCAATGTTCTAGCAATGTCCCGACAATGTCCTATGATATTTTTTTCCCTAAGTAACAGCTGTTCTGACCCAGTTATGACCCGGCTGAGACCCAGATATGACCCAGCTGTGACCCAGTTATGACCCAGGCCTATTCCATATGACAAGTTTCACAAAGCCCCTTTTTTCGAATGACCCAATCTTACCCAATGTCATAATCCCAGCTTCCCACCGTTTCGTAACGATCCCCAAATCGAAGTTGTACTTTCTAAATTGATATACACATATCTGTTAATCAGCACTGGTCGGGGATAAAATTTCAAAATGTTTCACATAATTACACTTAATACAGCATGCGCCAAAAGTAACAGTACCGAAGCGAAAATACGAACACTGTTTCCCTGTTGACCGCTGTCAATTTATATCTCCCGAAAGAAAACCACCATGCACACCGCTAGCGTGTAGGTTCAGCACCGCTCGGCTAGCGTAAATGTTCATAGTGCCGTCTCGCTGTAGATATTTCCATGTCGCTGACGCAGATTTTCAAACATACTACTGAGCAATGGGATCGGCAGACTCCTGCAAAAGAGGGCTATTTTTTTTTCGTGTAATGCAGGCACGGCCTCTTTGCGGTTGCTTCACACATGAACATCAGGTGGCGTAAGATCATGGGCAGTGAGACTAGTATGGAAAGTCAGGATCCCCAGAAATTTTACTTTCAGGAACGTTTTTTCTGCAGCGTGGCGATAGATTCTCGAGCATTTTGGCTGGTGGCCACATCCTGTTGATGCCACTGTCTATTTCGTGTGGAGGCTCCTTGCGCTACAGAACCTTCTCAAATCCTGGAGTTATGGTTCGATCAACGTGCCTCTTCAGTATCTGCAGTAGGGGCCCGATATTCCGTGTACTGCAAGGACACACCATATCGCTCTGTGTAGCGGCTTCTGGGCAATACCTTTTGGCCGCACACAATCAAAGACGCGAGCTGTCTGGCGATTGACGTAGCCGTCCAAGTTAATGTGACTTTTGTCCGAGAACCACGGATTCCTAAAAGAAATAGGGATCCTCGTACACCATGGTCCAAAATACGTCATACCGGCTCGCATCTAGGGCTCTGTCAAGCGTTTTCCAACATGTTTCTGGTACGGAGAGCATCTTGATGTCCTCAGACAAACAGCGAAAGGAAGCATATGTGGTGTGAAGTTTCAAATATGTCCCTGGTAGACTTTGTAAGGGCGAATGTAGAATCTGCCACCGAACACGTGCGTGATTCTCATTGGTCGAGACGGTCGTACCCTTCCGTTGAGACGGTGCACTTTGAAACCGGTGACATGTCTTATCGCTAGACAGCATGACTGTCTTATCACTAGACAGCATAACTGTGTTAGTGTTTGACGTCTTATTAAATCTCTCTTGGAATTGCTGGGGCCCCTTTGCCAAACTGAATAATGCGGCCCCGTCTGGGTATCAACTGTGGCCCCGTCTGGGTATCAACTGTGGCCCCGACTGTGTATCAACTGTGGCCCCGTCTTTGTATCAACTTCAACAAGTTTACAGTCAATTTTCGTGTACATCCCACCATAACATCCAGATGTGTACCGTTTTCAACCCTTCGGTAGGTCAACTTTTCGTTCTATGTTGGTCATCTGTTGGTCATCTACTCACTGGTCACTGTTTGTTCATCCACTGGTCTTCTGTTGGTCATCTGTTGGTCACTGCTTCTTTACTACCTTGGTGTCTCCCAGCAATATGACGTCATGGTGTTCGTCCGACCCGGTGTTTCGACTCATCGTATTATTAAGTTTTATATGAGTGCTAAACTAATCCATGCGTGCTTTAATTTTCAACATTTTTAGATTTGTATAAATTTACATGTAGCTGATGTTTGTAGCATTATTATTCTGAGACCGTTCAAATGATGTATTTAGTATTCTGAAACCGTTCAAGTGATGTATTTAGTATTCTGAGACCGTTCAAGTCATGGATTTAGTATTCTGAAACCGTTCAAGTAATGTATTTAGTATTCTGAGGCCGTTCAAGTGATGTAATTAGTGTTCCGATATGGTTCAAGTGATGGATTTAGTATTCTGAGACCGTTCAAGTGATGGATTTAGTATTCTGAAACCATTCAAGTAATGTAATTAGTTCTCCGACATGGTTCAAGTGATGGATTTAGTATTCTGAGACCGTTCAAATGATGTATTTAGTATTCTGAGACCGTGCAAGTGATGTGTTATTGTAAATTGTGGATTTATGAATGAAATCGTGTGTTAAACAGAGAAGAAGACAGCTTTATGAGAATATATTTTAAGATAGCACTCAGCAATGGTATCGCTACTCATCAATTAGTAAATATGCAAATAAAATGGATTTCAAAGGACATGAAGTAAGTTGACCTTGTTTTTTTTTTTAAATTAAAACGAGAACATTTTAAAATATCCACATTCAAAACTAAAGTCAGTAAGGTGCCATAGGGGTCCATGTGGTGTCGTGGGGACGTGAGGTGCCATGGGGATCTATGTGGTGTCGTGGGGACGTGAGGTGCCATGGGGGTCCATGTAGTTTCATGGGGAAAATGAGGTGCCATGGGGGTCCATGTGGTGTCGTGGGGACGTGAGGTGCCATGGGGGTCCATGTGGTGTCGTGGGGACGTGAGGTGCCATGGGGGTCCATGTGGTTTTATGAGGAACTCTTCTATCCTTAAGGCGCTCTTTTAGCAAATAATACAGTAATATCGTGGTGCTCTACATGAGCTCTAGTGCCACAGGGATGGATAGTTGTTATATCTAGGCAGACCAAAGCCCAACATGGGATATAGGGCCACAGGGATAGATAGTTGTTTTTATTCCTTGTTACAGTTAGCCCGGATCTTAAGTATTATTATGGTATAGTCTTGTACATAATACTGTTAACAACTTTCGACTGACTAGGACAAATGCCAAAAATCCACCACTATAGTGGTCCAAAAAAAAAACGGACGTATGGTCATCTTACTATAAAATTAATATATAGATCAAGTTTCATCAAAGAGAACAACATTAATCCAGTGAGACATTTAGGAAGGTTCTCAAATGAAACTCAGTCATTATGATTTTAACTAAATCTACGAAATAAATGGAATAAAAATATGTTCTTTTGAAGTCCTAATCCAAGTTTGACAACTGATTTAAATTTTTCTCTGAAACGCCCGGGTGTCTTTTATTGATGATTCAATGGTGTTTATTGCCCGATGTTGACAGGTCACGTGTCCCACATGTGAAGCAAGCATTGGAGTCCTAACACTCTTTAGTGATACAAGCTGGGCTTTGCATTGGAAACCTCAAAATCCATAGTGAGACAAACTGCCTTTGCATTGTAGTTCTAACAATTTTTAGTGATACAAGCTGGGCTTTGCATTGGAAACCTCAAAATCTATAGTGAGACAAGCTGCCTTTGCATTGTAGTTCTAACAATTTTTAGTGATACAAGCTGGGCTTTGCATTGGAAACCTCAAAATCTATAGTGAGACAAGCAGACTTTGCATTGGAAACCTAACAATACACGGTGATGCTTGGTGAATTTGCTGTGGAGTCCTAACAATCTATATTGAGACAAGATGTCTTTCCATTGGAGTCCTAACGTCAGCAGTGAACTGACCGCCCATAGTTTGAGCAAGGAACCATTTTTGTTAACAATTATATCAGGCCAGAAACTGTTTGAGGACCATCTTTGAGTATCCTATTGTTTAAAAGTTATTAAAAAACGAGTTGTCCCTCTTTTAAGCCGCCTCTGTTCCTACAAAGCCCCGAGGTTCTGACTTCATGTCAAGGTCAGTGTCTACATTTCATCAGTATTTCCTATTATTTCATATTCAAAGATGATTGAAATCTGCTCTACAGAAAGATTCAACTCACTCTTGATGTGTGGACATGTACTCCGGGATCATAGGCACACGGACTCATAAACACACGGAGTCATAGACACACGGGGGTCATAGACACTCGGAGTCATAGACACACTCTTGATGTGTGGACATGTACTCCGGGATCATAGACACACGGAGTCATAGACACGCAGAGTCATAGACACACGGAGTCATAGACACACGGGGGTCATAGACACATGGGGTCATAGACACACTCTTGATGTGTGGACATGTACTCCGGGATGATAGACACACGGAGTCCTAGACACGCAGAGTCATAGACACACGGAGTCATAGACACACGGGGGTCATAGACACATGGGGTCATGGACACACTCTTAATGTGTGGACATGTACTCCGGAATCATAGACACACGGAGTCATAGACACAGGGGTCATAATAACATGGTGGTCAAGAACACAGGAAAGTAATGAGTCTTATGTATTATTTGAGACCATAAGGAAGTATGATGTATTATATAAGTCTTATGTACTATATAAGACCATAGAGAACTCGTATGCTTAAGTTTTCAGCTCTTTTCTCATGTAGCTTCCTTTTATCGATGATAAATCATTGTCACCACAACATAAACTAAGGCAGTGATTTCCATAGTGGGGTGAGCGACCTCAAGGGAGGAAAATAGAGTTGAAGATGAGGTGGGACGGCTAGAATGTACGTTTCAATGATTAGTAATGACATGTAAATATATGCATATATTTATTTATTTATTGAAAGCGATGCATTGTAACAAACAGTTGGGTTTTAAAAAAAAAATTTTTTTGTTACCGTTGAGCGCTGAAAACTTTTTCGAACAAATAAGATGTCAACACAATATCTTCAACACGCCATCGCGTTTGTTCAGTGGTAGAGTTCAAAGGTCAGGTCACATTACCTGGTAACCTCTAGAACATTATATGAACTCTACAACTTTAGCAGAAGTGAACAAGAGTATATGATATGTGTTGTTACTCACATACCGCAATATGCGTGGGTCGCGCAACGTTCTAACAGATATGGTAACGCCTTGTTTTATGAAGCAGATGTCGTGAAACTTGTACAGCGTGTACATGAATTAGGCCGATGTACATGTGTACATACGTATTTATGTCTATACCAGAAAGCCTGGTCATATTGTTGGTATGCAGCGCGTGTTTTGCACACAATGTCCGGTAATTTAGATCACTGATATTATATCCGTATGTGAAAGTTGCTCACTAAGCCGTATGCTCTACCACATAGCGTTTCAAGAACAAGAGAAAAAACCCAAGATGGCCGTTGCTTTACAAGGTTGTCGCTATGCTAGAGAAATAATAATCCCCCCCCCCCCCCACACACACCTTTTCAAAAAAATAAAAATTGAACGGAGCCTTGCTCCCAGTTACCCCTCTCTCACGAATCACCCTGGATCCGCCGCTGATATCACTATATAAACCAAAGTCACCCTCTGAATAAGTTATAACAGATAACGTCTTCCTTCCTTCTAGCGTGTTGGTCTGTGATGCGTCACATAGTCTGATCTAAGTGACAGCATTCCCTGAAGTCAACCGTTAACCTCCCAAAATTCCAGTCTTTTTTTTTTAAATATAAAATAGAGTAAAAAAATGTCTGCAAAGTGCGCAGTCGACCAATTCTCTGAACGCTGTTAAGTATGAGAGCTGGCTAGCAAACAAAATAGTATTGGCAGTAGTGAATGATTGGGAGTAGTGAATGATTGGTAGTAGTGAATGATTGGTAGCAGTGAATGATTGGTAGCAGTGAATGATTGTAGTAGTGAATGCTTGTAGTAGTGGATGTTTCTTAGTAGTGAATGATTCGTAGCAATGGATGAATTGTAGAAGTTTATGATTGTTAGTAGTGGATGATTGATAGTAGTGGATAATTGGGAGCAGCGGATGAATGGTAGCAGTGGATGATTGGTAGCCATGGATGATTGGTAGCAGTGGATGATTATAGCAGTGGATGATGGTTAGTAGTGATCTAATAAATTACGGCTTGTTTGCCTTGAAAAAGCTTGTTGCCACTTAGTAAAGATAATAATGACTCTTGGTACCATCGACGACATCATCCACAACACTGAGACATCATCCACAACACTGAGACATCATCCGCAACACTGAGACATCATCCGCAACACTGAGACATCATCCACAACACTGAGACATCATCCGCAACACTGAGACATCAGCCATAACACTGAGACATCATCCACAACACTGAGACATCATCCACAACACTGAGACACCATCCACAACACTGAGACATCATCCACAACCCTGAGACATCATCCGCAACACTGAGACATCAGCCATAACACTGAGACATCATCCACAACACTGAGACATCATCCACAACACTGAGACACCATACACAACACTGAGACATCATCCTCAACCCTGAGACATCATCCGCAACACTGAGACATCATCCACAACACTGAGACATCATCCACAACACTGAGACATCATCCACAACACTGAGACATCATCCACAACACTGAGACATCATCCGCAACACTGAGACATCAGCCATAACACTGAGACATCATCCACAACACTGAGACATCATCCACAACACTGAGACACCATCCACAACACTGAGACACCATCCACAACACTGAGACATCATCCACAACCCTGAGACATCATCCGCAACACTGAGACTTCATCCACAACACTGAGACATCATACACAAGACTGAGAGATCAGCCATAACACTGAGACATCATCCACAACACTGAGACATCAGCCATAACACTGAGACTTCATCCACAACACTGAGACATCATACACAACACTGAGAGATCAGCCATAACACTGAGACATCATCCACAACACTGAGACATCAAACATAGCATTGACGCTTGTTTTATCTGAAGACATCA